TCAGTTTTTGTTTTCTCACGAAAAAAAACGAGATTTTGGCTCTGTTTTCGTTTTTTGGTTTAGTATAGGAAAACAACTTTAAAATTCATTATACACATTGTAGGCAGTGCTGAAATGCCCTTTTTCCTATGATTGGTCAACCAAATCTGAGCCTGTGACATTTTTTTATTTTTTTTTCAAAAAACACAAAAATACATTAATCAAATGTGCATTTTACATCAAAATTATATTGCAATACATCAATTATTGCACTTTTTTTTTTTTTTGAATTTTCATTACAATCATGGATGACTGCCCTCGAAAAGTGAAGCTGAAGATGAGTTTCCAGTTTACTTTTCTTTGAGGGTGTATCAAAGTTTGTAGTGCAGAATGGACAGAGGTAGATGAAACAGCACATGTTGCATTTATTTACCACTGGTAAACTCTGATCACTCTGTATTAATGAAATTTCTGCTATTTCTAAAACAAGAAAATATAATTAACATTATATGAAGAGAGAAAAAAGTCAGACCAGTGGTGCAGTGGGTAGCACAATCACCTCACAGCAAGAAGGTCGCTGGTTTGAGTCCTGGCTGGGTCAGTTGGCTTTTCTGTGTAGAGTTTGCATGTTCTCCTCATGTTAGTTTTCCTCCTTGTGCTCCGGTTTCCCCCACAGTCAAAAGACGTATTGGTGAATTGGGTAAGCTAACTTGTCTGTAGTGTATGAGTGTGTATGGATATTTTCCAGTGATGGGTTGCAGCTGGAAGGGCATCTGCTGCATAAAACATATGCTTGATAAGTTGGCAGTTCATTCCGCTGTGGCGACCCCCAGATTAAAAAAGAGACTAAGCCGAAAAGAATTTGAATGAATGAATGAAGAGAAAATGAGAAGATGGATGTTTACAGCTTCTACAAGTTCAAGAGAGAGACTTTGGGGAGAGCGGGGTAAAGTGAGACACTTTTTACATTTGCTCTCCTGTAAGCGAGCTAAAATTTTATATCAGTAAAATTGACACATTTCTCATTAATTCAGAATGTTTTCTAGCAATTGAATTTATCAGACTGTATTTAGGATGAAGGAAAGTGAAAATATGATTGTTTTAAAAAAAAGTTGTCTTGTGTCTCACTTTACCCCAGCTTTGGGGTAAACTGAGACAGACCAGAAAAATCAAAGGGGTAAAGTGAAACAGCTGAGGATAAACTGATCCACTTACTTTTTCCACATAACATAACTACCATAACAATGCATGTTGTAAGAGTCTGAATCCTGACAGCTAGCTTGACAACCACACATTTCCGAACTAATGTCTGACTAGTCAATTATGGATTGGGGATTGGTCAATTTAGCACATTTGTTTGTTTTTCTAAACACTTGAAAGTAACTCTGAACAAAATCAAATACAACAATCTAATTCAACCTATTTGAATTTACATACTAATGACAGATGGAACCAGTTAGATTAGATCTTAATCTGGGGTTCAGGACACTTAGAGCCAGCTATAGTATGGGGGTCAGAGAAAAGGACAATCAGAACAAGATAGAACAGCCTGGGACGCACACAGGACTATTCAGCTGGATTAGAACATCAGCCTACTGTCACAACTCCCACTCTTGTGTTTCCCTGGATTCTTCTAAAAAATTGTGCATGTACCTCGTCGCCAAACTGATTTCAGCCTCATGTTTCTGAAATAACATCTATGTTGATCTTTGAACACCAGTTCAATCAGCCAATCAGAATTTAGGGATACGTCTACCGTTTTTCAGTTCAGGCTTATGCAGGTTTATGCACTTCTACATGATTGTTATCCAACTATTATTCCCCTCGGATTTTGGGAGTAATTTACAGTTATGGCTGGGTTTAGGGGTAGGGAATAGGTATGGGTTACAATTTCCAACAAATATGATGTTCCAGGTTAAACAGATGTTGGTCCAGGATCATATCGTACTTGGCAAAATCATGATGTGCGAGTCTCGTCATCCTAAACTTTCTTAACCATGCCAGTGTAATAAAGGCTGGTGTTTTTTGTTGCAAATTTAACTTTAAAAAAAGTCTCCCACAGACATATCTGTGTTTCTTGGACCACTACTTTTTTAGCACATTTTTTTTAGCAATTCAGGCTAATCTTCAGCTAGCATCCTCACATGGTTTTATATGTTGATAGTTCATCAACATGTATGATATAAGTTTTTCTACTTTAATCAATTTGCTTTGGCACAACAGTTTTTGGCACAAACTTTTACATGCAAAAAACATATTATTGTGAAAAAACATGCTTTCCAGAGCACCAGGAATTCTCGTCCTTCAAAGTAGAAGGGAAATGGAAGGGGCTTGTAAACACAACTTTTATAGAGTGATATATAAAATCCGTTGACTAGATACAGGGGGTGTCTCACTTTACCCAATGTCTCGCATTACCCCGTTCTCCCCTACATTTCCTTAGGTAGACCAACAACTAAAATCAAGTAAACACACACACTTATTTAGAGCAAGTTAAAGAGAACTATAGTTCTCGGAATTTAACTTCTCGGTTATCAGTCACACTAAGCTACAGCTGTTATGGAGCAAGGTTTCAAGAGGTTAAGCACAAACACATAGATTCATATTTTTGATATTCAAAGTTAGAAAACATTATAATTCCTTCAGTACTCATATGTAATTTAATCATTAATTAAAATGTTGAAATTTCAGGCTTGCTAAAAATGTTTTTAACGAGTATTTAACATGCATCTTCATCGTGTCGCGTTTGGCTTGATGTGTGATGATTATGGTAAAGTTCTGGAGGCTCATAATAACACGGTGCTGCCTCTTCCTACAGGACGCATCATGAAGAACAGGAGCGTAAAACAAAACTGCCTGATCCAATTCTGCCTCCTCAGATCAGTTTGGTGACAAACGCAAGTATGATTCACTATTGGAGGAAAAAAGCACACACAGGTCTCAGATCAGCGGTTATCACTCTGTACGCGTCCTCAACAGAGTAAAATAATGCGGTTTAGAAAACATGCGTGATTTGATTCAATCAGACAATTAAAAAAAGATTGAGGTGTTATGATAACTCCTGCTATAACCTATAGACCATTTCAATGTGGTGATGTTATTGGCCCATGAACATGTGCTGTAATAATAACTGTAATAATAGGCAATGTTAAAACAGCTGTCATAACATTATTTGTCAATATGTGGCTCTTTTTGGATGATCAGAAGTAATAGAAATTAAAAATGTACAACAGGAAATGCATTGGGACCATTGTTTCTGATTACATCCCTCAAAATAGTCTATAACAATGTCTTAAAAAGCATTCAGCCAAACATCAAATAAGATTGGCTGTTTTTCTTTTTAAACAAACAAGTAGCGATTTGCCATATATGTGGTGTATAAAATGTAGCCCAGTTTTCCCATGGACTTACAGAAGCGTCTACAGAGAAAACAGGAATGTTTCCCTAACCTGCCTAGTTAACCTAATTAACCTAGTTAAGCCTTTAAATGTCACTTTAAGCTGTATAGAAGTGTCTTGAAAAATATCAAATATTATTTACTGTCATCATGGCCAAGATAAAAGAAATCAGTGATTAGACACGAGTTAATAAAACTATTATGATTAGAAATGTGTTAAAGAAATCTTCTCTCTGTTAAACAGAAATTGAAGAAAAGAATAAACAGGAGGGCTTATAATTCTGACTTCAACTGGATAGATAGATAGATAGATAGATAGATAGATAGATAGATAGATAGATAGATAGATAGATAGATAGATAGATAGATAGATAGATAGATAGATAGACATACAGACAGACAGACAGACAGACAGACAGACAGACAGACAGACAGACAGACAGACAGACAGACAGACAGACAGACAGACAGACAGATAGATAGATAGATAGATAGATAGATAGATAGATAGATAGATAGATAGATAGATAGATAGATAGATAGATAGATAATGCTGGCGGTTCATTCTGCTGTGGTGTGACCCCTGATAAAGGGACTAAGCCAAATGAATTCATATTGTATTGGTTTTAATATTATTAAATAATGTATTTTGCTTTATAGTGAGTGTGCAGTTAAATTGTCTTTTGGAGAGTTACATACATTCTAATACATTATTCAATTATTTAAAAATATTAAATTATTAAAAATAAAAAGATTAGAACAGGTTAGAAAAATATCTTACCAGGAAAGACATCTCATGCAGGCTAAAGGCAGGCAAAAAATACAAAAATTAAAAAACATGAAAGAAAATTAGTCTATATAAGAAAGTGAGATGCAGTACATGTAGTGTACATGTGGTTAGCTAAAATTGAGTCCTTCAATACTCGTATGTAATTTAATCATTAATTAAAAATGTTTAAATTTCACGCTTGCTAAAAAAATTTTTTAACGAGTATTTTACATGTCGCGTTTGGTTTGATGTGTGATGATTATGATTATGGTAAAGTTCTGGAGGCTCATAATAACGCTTGTGCTGCCTCCCTCTACAGGACGCATCAGGATTAACAGGAGCGTAAAACTGCCTGATACAAGTGTGCCTCGATCAGTTTGGTGACAAACGCAAGTATGATTCACTATTAGAGGAGAAAAGCAAACACAGGTCTCAGATCAGTAGTTAAACTCACTCTGTTCGCGTGAAAGCGTGAGTAGATTAATTCGGTTGTGAAAACAGTGTTTATAATGTTTGAAGATTTTCTTTTTTACATATTTTTACACACGTATAGTCTTTCACAGTGTACAAATAATATGTTTACTTAAGAGTCAGTACTCGTTAGACTTATTCTCGTTATGTCATTCACATGATTCTATCAAACAAACAATAAAAATAAAGATCGAGATGTTATGATAACTCGTGCTATAACTTATGTCTTAAAAGCATTTAGCCAAACATCAAATATGATTGGCTGTTTTTCTTTTTAAACAAACAAGTATTATATAAGGCTATTCAACATTGTTCTTACTGTTCTTCCTGGTTTAAACGAAATAAGTCCTGACATGCACGCCCATGACTCAAAGAAAGCAAAAGTGAAAGTATATTTTTGACGAGTCTTCTCGGGTTTCTTGTTGAAAGGCTCTCGTTTTAAAGATCATTTATACTAGTTATGATAACTTTGTCTGTTTTAAAACATGATAAAACTAGTTTCCTGCATTTTTATGTCAGTACTTCTGGTGGTTGCTGATGGTACGTACCTTTTACCTTTGTGTGTTGGAAATAACCTTTTAGATTCCGTCTTCCTTTTTGTTTGTTTGTTTTTTCGACGCATTAATCGATTATTGTGTTGTTTCAGGCTTCACTGTTCATGGTCCCTCAGCTCCTCTGTCTGCTCCTCTGGGATCTTCAGTGGTTTTGCCCTGTTATATTGATGAAGTCTCACTAATGGAGGATCTGGAGGTGGAATGGAGAAGAGCAGACTCAGAGACTCTGATTCATCTGTATCAAGATGGTGAGAGTCGAGCAGAGGTCCAGCAGCAGGATTATCATGATAGAGCTCATTTCTTTACTGAGGAGATTCAACATGGAAACTTCTCCCTCCGTCTGGACAATCTGACAGCTCAAGATGAAGGAGAATACAGGTGTAAGGTTTTTATTCAGCAGGATTCTGGAGAAGCTGTGGCTCAGATAAAAGTTGGAAATGGTGAGTGAAATTAACTTAAATTCTGCTGAAAATTTGGGGTTTAATCTTCAACTGGCTGGCAGGAGCCGCCAGTGGCGGGTCATGTGACCTGACACTGGCTGATGGCAGTCGCCAGTGTCCAACTGTCGGGTAGCATGACCTGCCAGTGGCAGCCGCATTTTACCCGAAAGTTGACAACTGTCAGCCAGAGCCTGGTTGGTGGCCTTTAACAACTGGCTGGTGGGTCAGGTGTCCTACTAGGGTCTGCTTGATAACAGTTGGCAACTGGCATGTCATATGACCTTTCATTCCATCAAATGTGTTAACAATAAACAATATGAACATTTTTACGGATTTATTCTTAATGATGGAACATTTCCGAGTGTTTATTACAAATAAAGTGTCCTCAAATCTACAAAAATGGTAAGGTCTGAGTTTCCTTCCCTTGCTTTCAGTTTCTCTGAAAGTAATATAATAGAGATTTTCAGTAGGCATTGGGCACATTAAACAACTTAATCAGAGATACAGCGCTTTAATAGCCGTCAATACAACTGGCTGGTACTAACGCCTACGCAAGCAGCTCAGTTTAACAGCGCTTAAGCCCTCTGAGTGTGGCGTCTAATTAGCACTCTCTTTCTGGGTGATCAAATTATTCATTTATGAAATGTATAGTCTTTATGGTATTCTGGTTTATATACCATATATTTGCAGCAAATTTATTCCAAAGAAGGTCTTCAAATGACCCTCAAACAGACTGGTGGGTTATCGACGCTAATCAACTTGCAGTCACCACCAGCCCGGTAGCTCAGAGTTTAATGCGTTCGCTTTCTTTTTCTCTGCAGCTTTATATATTGATTTACCATCATGAATATAATCTTCAGGACCTTTTCTATTATAAATTGGGCATATTAGTCAGGTTCATTCCAGATAAAGTGCTCAAAAGTGCCTTGATTACAACTGACTGGCCACACCCTCCTCATGGAGCTCCACCAGCGCACATGCTGGTTATGCTTCCCCCTGTAAGCGCGATTACTATCTTAGTCTGGCGCATCTCCTCGCACTCTCATCCCGAGGAATAACATTTTTAATTCATGAAATGTGTATTCTTTTGTGTCTACTTGTTTCCGTCATAAACATTTGCAGCAGTGTTTCCTCAAAGAAGCGCTTCAAACAGCCCTTAAACTGACCGGTGGGTTTGCAACACTCGCTGCGTCACCAGCCAGGTAGCTCAGAGTTTAATGCGTTCGCTTTCTCTTTCTTTTCTGCAGCTTTATATATTGATTTACCATCATGAATATAATCTTCAGGACTTTTTCTATTATAAATTGGGCATATTAGTCGGGTTCATTACAGATAAAGTGCTCAAAAGTGCCTTGATTACAACTGGTTGGTCAAACCCTTCTTATGGAGCTCCACCAGCGCACTAGTGCAGTCAAATTCACCAGCAGGTTCAGCAGGATGTTAATATGACGACTCTGTAGCAATTCACTAACTTTAAAATATATTTTAGATATTAATACACACACACAATGTCTCCAAACAGCCACTGGTAGGACACCTGACCCACCAGCCAGTTAATAATGTGCACCAAGCAGCCACTGGTAGGACACCTGACCCACTACCCAGCCAGTTGTTAATGGCCAGTTGTTAATGGCGACCAAACAGCCACTGGTAGGACACCTGGCCCACCAGCCAGTTGTTAATGGCCAGTTGTTAATGGCGACCAAACAGCCACTGGTAGGACACCTGGCCCACCAGCCAGTTGTTAATGTCTTCCAACCAGGCTCTGGCTGACAGTTGTCAACTGCCGGGTAAAATGCGGCTGCCACTGGTAGGTCATTCTATCCGACAGTTGGACACGGGCGGCTGCCACCAGCCAGTGAAAGGTCACGTGACCCGCTACTGGCGGCTCCTGATTAAACCCCTACTGGAAAATTTTAATAAAATGTTTGATGTAAAGTTTGACACTATTTGTTTTCTTTCAGAGCGTTTGTTTGTATCAGGTTCAAATCGTCCTGCATCTGCATATGTTGGTGAGGACGTGACTCTGAACTGCTCTGTAGACTCTCACATCACTCCTGAACACATTGAAGAGGTTTCATGGATGAAAATAGATGATGATGGAGATATTCTGGTTCTGCTTTATCAGTACAATGAGACTTTACCAGATTCATCAAATGAACAGTTCAGAGGCAGAGTTGAGTTCTTCACTGCTGAAATCCCCAAAGGAAACTTCTCTCTCAGACTGAAGAGTGTCAGAACTGAGGATAAAGGAGTTTACATGTGTCAAGTGTTTGCTGGAGATTTATCAGCCAATGCTACTGTAGAGCTGGGGGGACTAGGTAAGGAACAAATATGGTTGACATGCTCTAAACATAATTTAAAAACTAATTAATATACTATTACTAACCAAATAATATTGACACTTATTTGCCACCAGCATTTGTCATTATACATTAACACTTGGTGTTAACAATGCTTTGTTTTCTTGGTTCCGGTCCTTGATTCTGGTTAATTGAGCCAGATTCAGAGTTGTATGTAAATTATTCTACAGACAGACACCTGTGACTCTCAGTTCAGCTATCATCACTAAGCAAAACAACAGTTTTATTTGATGAAGTTTACCATGTAGGTTCATGAGCAGCATGATCATTAATGCGTGTCAATCATCACATGGTTAATTAAGCAGCAGCATTGACCTTTGTCAGCTGAAATGTTTATCTCAGTCTTTGCCCTCAGATGTACACTCATAGGGGTATATCCCTTTTGTTGACTTACAGGTCAAAAATGACCCATACATTATTTTAACAGCAGAAAAAACAATGTTTTTATCTTGATGTTTGGTGAGTTTTTTTTTATTACCCCAACATTGGAAAAAAATCAATAAGTTTTCATTTTTATTGTAAGGCCTGTACACATTTAGCGCACAATAGTTGTCTTTTGGGTCAATTTTGATCCACCAGTTATAAAACTGTTTTTAAACCAACAAAACTACTGACACACACACACACACACACACACACACACACACACACACACACACACACACACACACACACACACACACACACACACACGTGCACGCACACACACACACATAAACACACAAACACACACACACATACACACACAATAAGAATTTGCTGCTTTAACTTTTATGAAATATGTCTTGCTAACATACAGTATGCAGGTGCCTTTAGCATTAACAAATAAACCCTTTACTTTAGTCAAAAAGGAGAAATACTGATAAAATACTGCACATTGATGAGGGAAACCCTACACATTCACAGAGTTTGTGATGAAGATGAGGTTATTTCTTCATGCAAAACAGATTTGAAGATTGAAATTAAGTTTAGCTGCTTTATTTTACAGTTTTAGTGAAGGTGGGTCATTTTGACTCAAAGGGCAAACCGTGTAGACAGATTTCTAAGACTACAGAAGGGTTAAATTCATAGCTCAAGTCAAGCCTCCTTCAATGACAGCAAGGTTTGTTTGTTTACCGTTATCTATCATGACTGAAAGAGCAGGAGAACTCGTCGACTATTTTGTTGCTATGTATATGGAATAACCATATTATAAAAGCAATTAGCCTTGTGAAGCTGCTGCATAATGCTAATGCTAACAATGCTCCTTAGTTGTTATAAATCCACAGTAAACCACAACTTCCTGTGGCTATTGATTTTAGAAACTGTTAATTTGTTTTGTTAATAACTTGATTAAGCTTTGTCTTAGTAACTGTAGACTGGCAGCAATGTGTGTCATTCTTTGGATTTTAAATCATTTGGGAATAAGAGTTTCTGAAATATTTTGGTCTAACCCATATCATTAAAAAATCTAAATGAAACAGAATGAAAGCATTGCGTTTTTAGGAGATCGTAGCGTAGTTTACATACATAATATTTTTCTTAAAGCTGTCAGTCTGTTTGTTTATTGCTTGTGTGTCGAGGCTCCATGAAGATTGTCAATATAGTTAATCAATCATCTGTTCTATTTTAGCAAATTGATCATTTTTATTTGTTAATTTACAGAGGAATTAAATAAACATTGAAAGATGTTTTTAAACCACATCATAGGTTAAAATGTTGAGCTTCAATATTACTTTTCATCAGTTTAATGTGACTTTATTGTGTCTATAGCTCCATTTCTCCCATTCTGGAGCAAGATACATTAATAGTTGGATTTGAATCAACTGTTGTTAAATGTAGTTTGCTTATTGCTTAAGTTTAGCTGAATATGAAGAACACAATTAAAGACAGTTTATGTAGATTGAACACCAAAATGCATGAAAATGTAATGACTAGGGAGTTTTCAGACAGTTTGGGGTTTTGTGCGAAACACCCACTATTGTAAAAAGTAAATATGCTATGTCTGTTCTGTGTTTTGTCATTTCCCTTTTCTTCCCTCCAGGTTTCTCTTCTTTGCACATCGCTGTGCTGTTTTTCTGTGTTGCTGCTGGATCTGGAGCTGTTCTTCTGCTCTGCTCTCTGATCTACTGCAGATATAAAAACACAGGTGTGTTAATAAGTGAATAAATCTGTATTATGTGTCAGTGTAAGTGTTTTGCTGATGTAATTGTGATTATTCTGAATTTCCTCTTTAGTCTCCAGCAGCACAATCTGGATTCTTCAGCTTTCTCTGGTCCTTTTCCCAAACATCTGTATGTTCTTAGCCTTCATCCTTTGGGGCTTTACTGAAGGTGAGTGCAGGAGTTTAGTGCTCTTGGTTATGTTCAAGTTAAAAGTAATATTTATTTTACTAAATCTTGTCAGTTTCTTGTGCATTTGTGTTCTTTAATGGTTAAGTAGTGGCTTATTGGAGAAATGGCGTCACATAATGCAGTTATTTTTAATGTCTATAATGAAATATTGTGTTGCAGGATCTTTGGATGAGACCATCACCTGCTCTGCTCTTTATATTCTGAGGCCTTTTATGCTGATCTGGGCTTTGTCCTATTTGAAGTATCTTCAAGGTATGTTGGGATTTAAAGTTTAGTTTTCCACAGAGAGAACAACATATGCACACTGATGGTAACATTAAAGAGGACCTATTATGCTTCTGTTTACAAGATGTCAAATAAGTCTCTGATGTCCCCAGAGAGTGTATGGGAAGCAGGGCTTGAAATTAACTTTTTTTGCCTGGTAGCACGGGTGCTCCTAACTTCAAAAGTTTAGGTGCATCAGCCAAAATTTAGTCGCACCCACCAATTATGAGCACCGTTACTACAAGTGTTATACAGATATTATATTAAATGTTATAACAGATTTATTGCACTTGAAATCAACAGTAATCAAACTAAAAAGCAAAAAAAAAAAAAAAAAAATATATATATATATATATATATATATATGCAAGCATGAGAAAAATATCTCTCAGCGAAATCCCATTACCACAAGAAAATAGATTTTTATAACATAACTGAGTGACCAAAAGATACACAGACCTCTCACCGGCCCTGCACGCACGGCTTGACATGAATGAACCTGTTAACGATATAACTGTGCGGTTCTCATGGATGGTGTCTGATATTGTACTGATGTTTTTTTACATATAACTGTTCCTTATTATATGCATACATCATGTTAATAGCAACACCAGTCTTTTCATGAGTAGCGATATTAGCTAACTAGTTTACTCAGTGTAAGCTCGTTTGCGATGGTGTACGTGGTGTTAAATTTGACACATAGCTGTCACTTGCATGGCGAACAGCATCTGGCGATTATATGAAGGATTAAACAGAAGCTCTCGTGCTGGATGTGGCAAACAGTTACCAGAGAATTCCATCCCACAGACTTTTCATAGCGGACTTGAAGCCAATGGAAGTCTTTTATCCACTCTTCGAAAAGTGTAGATGGTGGATTAACATTCAGCACATGATCACTAGTAAGATGTGTCATTATTTGTAACTTTAGATGTCATGGTTTCTAAAACAAAATCTGTCAGTGTTATCTTCATTCTCATCTTCAGCGCTTTACAATTTTTCGCGGTAGTAGCTCTCTCTGTCATCCCAAGCCAGAAGGCATTGACTGAGTGATTGACAGCTGATATTTCAGTGCTAGAGCAGTGGGCCAATAAGAAGAGCGTGAAGGCGGGGCAAGCATTACGGACTTGGCTTAGTTTACTGCAGCTAGTTGACATTAAAACTGTTTTAAACCATTCCTAAACGCTGCGTTTCGCGTTTCAAGTGCAGAGATGCATTCTGCGTGAATGTCTCCCAAATGTGCGCATGTGGTGAACATTTTGCAGTAAAAACTGGTCACACACAACAATTTTGTGCAGTCGCACAAATGCTACTAAATATATTTTGAGGTCACATAGATAAAATTTTGGGCGCCAAAATGTCCGCAATTTCAAGCCCTGGGAAGTTTCAGCTCAAAATACTACACAAATAATCTTTTATAACTCTTTGAAACTGCCCCTTTTAGGCTTTGATCCTAATTGTGTAATTTTGGTGACTGTCGCTTTAAATTCAAATGAGATTGTGCTCTTTTCAAAAGAGGGCGGAGCTACAAATGCCTGTGTGTCAGCATAGTGGCAGATTCAAAAACAAGACTAACACCATATGCTAATGAAGGAGAGATTGTCACTAGTGGGCGGGGCTTTGATGACACGTACAAAGGGAGAATGTCAATCAAAGTGTTTCTCCAGACTGTTTTTATCAAGTGTGATTATAAAAAGATTACAACTAATATTTTTTTACCATGAGAAGCTGGCTATAATCACACACTGCTCCTACACAAGTGTGTTTAAACCCCTTATGAAAGTGAATTTTGCATAATAGGTCTCTTTAATTCTTAGCATTGTATCGTTACTGAATGTTTCTATTGCATTTAAATATGTTAAGGCATCAAATATTGAAAGTGCACAGTACAGCAATATAACAGATACACTGTACTCCAAAAACATGAAAACGAAATGAGTTTTGGAAACAATTAAAAGCTTATTGTAAACTTTCTTTTTAACAAAGAACAGCTAATCATTATATTATAGTGATTTTTGGAGAGATCATATGACACTGAAGACTGGAGTAATGATGATGAAAATTCAGCTGTGAGTCACATGAATAAACTAAATTTAAAAACTACATTTAATAAGAAAACTGATTACACAATATGCAATTATAATTACAATATTAAAAACTATTTTAATATTGTAATTTCTCAATTTAAAAGTTTTTACTGTATTTACTTTAATATATGCAGCCTTTGTGAGCAAAATTGGCTTCTTTTAAAACATTAATAAGTCCTACTGTTTCCAAACGTTTGGAGGGCAGTGTGTGTAGTAGTAATACCATGAATCTGTACACTAACGTTAAATATAGTACTTTATACAAGTGCATTGCTTTTTAAACAAATACCCAGTTTATCTACTATAAAGTATTTTTGGATTCATATTTGATGTGTTGATGACCTGAATGTTGATGATCATCTTTGTTTGAATATTTAATTTTTGGAAAACGAATACATGCTGATCTGTGTCGAGAGAAAACTGTGTAATTTAGTCAGTCAAGACAGGATAACATGAAACTGTAATAAGACCGTGTGTAAGAGCTGATGTGTTTCACACTTTCTGTCTGCAGAGAGCCTTAAACCATGGACCAGCTTTTTCACACCAACAACGGAATTAGCGGTTCTCACACTGGTTGTTTATTCAGGTAAATCCACATTTCACACAACTGAGACCAGGTTCATTATTCTGACACAGGAGCTTTATGAAATATGACAAAATAATGACAAAAATAAATTAATAATAAAAGACAGAGAATGGTTGCAGCTGTCTGGTACTCATTTAGTATCTCAGCATTATACTGTCAGCTGTTCAGATATTTTTCAAAATTAAAATAACAGGATTAGAATATTTTATAGATTATTTATATTTTATTGCATGTTTACTGTTTGTAATATGTTGGTGTACATGTGATGGTCTCCATGTTTTATAACATTTTGATGTTTGCATTTTACACTTGCTTGAGGGAACATTATTTTAATAACCCACTTCTTTGAGTGAACTTGCTTAAGGACATTATTGATCTTGTGTGTCTTTTAATTTTTCTATTTCTGTAGTTCTTTTCTCTTATGGCTGGAGAAAGAGAGCACATGATACAGACAGCACACCTCGTGTAGTTTCTGGAGTATGCTTTGGAGTTGTTGTACTGATGTGCCTCATATTGAGTACAGGTAAGAGTTTTTTAATGATTTGATTTCTTATACATGGTTCATACTGTGTAAAAAGCTAAGTATATAAGCAAATATGTATTAGCTTCATAACTTTACTAACTGGTTTCATTAATTTACTTGCATTTTATAACACAATTACCAAACACAATGGCTTAATCATGGCACTTTCCTATTATGTCTAACTGTGTTTGCATTTATTTGTTTGTTTGATTTTTAGGGGACGTTTTAAGGCTTTTCAAAAAACTAAGAGAGAGAATCCTAACTCCAGGTGAACACATGCTCTTTTGTTTTACTCCATTACTAGTTATACTCCAGTAAAGTTATTAAAACAGCTAACTATTAAACTGTTACTAACTATTAGTTCATGCAATATCTCAAAGTGCATTAAGCAAATGTAAAGCCATGTGTTGCTAAATGTTGATAAATAAAGCACAAAAATAACTGAAATTGAAAAGGAAAAAATAAATACACATTTCCATTTTTTTTTCCCCCAAATAAATCTACATTTTTTAGACGGTTACTTGTTACTAGCCTTTGTTGCTTAAACTAACAACAGTCATTGTGTGACTAATTCAAAACTGACCGTTGTCTTGAGCAGTGGACATTATTTGAAATCCATTTTTAATTAATGTTTGTCTTTTCTCTCATTTCTCTCATTTCTCTCTCTCTCTCTCTCTCTCTCTCTCTCTCTCTCTCTCTCTCTCTCTCTCTCTCTCTCTCTCTCTCTTTCTCTCTCTCTCTATTAGGTTTTGAGAACATTTGTTGTTTCGCTATCATCGTCTTCTTGGTCCTCTTTGAATTCTTCCAGTTGTTCTCCTCATTTGGATTTGCCTCTCTAGGTGACACTGTTTACTCATCTCTTGCAAATGTACACTGATATGAAACAAGTGGATTGTAAAAATGTGAAAACTGGGTTCACTGTTCACTACTAGTAGTAGTAGACTAACATGCAAACATCAATGTGCATAAATTAAGTTAAATGCTCAAAACACACACACACACACGCACACACTGAAGACTCCCACTTGGTTACACTTTAACTTGATAATCCACTTGTAATAGATAGTAATAATTAGTGTTTTTGCAACTGTATGCCAACAATCTCTCACTGGAGTATTAGTAGAGGTAAATTTAATGTCTGGTAAATTTAAAATTTAAATGCGACGAATAAGCAGACCTACACAGCTCTTACAGCCAAAATGTCTGTTGGGGTTCATTATAGTAAAGTGTCAGCAGATTATAATAATAATACAGTCTCCATTATTCCAATGACTGATAGTGTATGTAGTTGCAAAGTTACTTACAGGAAGCAGAATGTACAGTATAATGAAGTGCTACCTCTAATTGTAGTGTTTTAATGAGTCACAAGCAATAATTTTATCTGGTTTGATGACATTATTTCTTTGTTTAGTTTGATTGGGTCACGTGCGTAGAGTTGCTGAAGTTTGCCCTGCGCGCTTGCAGCTTTTTAAGGAACTTCTTTGGTTTGGTGCGTCAATCTTGTCAATGCTATTATTCAAAAAAGTTAGTGATTCGCACTCAAGTAATTGCTTCGTAGTGTTTTGATTTTTTCTTTCTCTTACAGTCTACGGGTGATTAAAAAGACAGATGTTTCGGCACAATGTCTTCCTCAGTGTGTGACACAATCCTCTCACTCGACCCTTTTATCCCAGAGTTAATCACAATGTGCAATTAATTAAACTGCCACTCATTTCATTATCCATTATTAACCACACAATAACTATCTTCACACTTCAAACATTATTCCACACAGAAACAGTGTATCAACTATTATCATTTGTCCAATGCACAGCAGTACAATAAAAATCCCACAGCTAACAAAATAAAATAAAAAATTCTCTTACATTTGACAATTACTCGAAAATTAAAAAACAAACAAATCTTACCTTCACCTCTACCCACATAGCTAACCATGCAAGAAACATTTACCCTCACCTTCAAAAAGATTTTACAGAAAAATAGTATACTTGCATCAACGACATTTTTGATGCCAAAACATTAAAGAATATACATTTGTTATATTGTGTCAACCATCTAAGCGACAACTCTGTTCGCCAACATTCTCTTTTTCCTTTCGATATATCATGATGATCAAACATATGAAAAAATACTTTTACCTTTATTAACATTTTCACAAGATAATAGCATAAACCATCATCATGTTCATCAACAGTCTCTTTTTTATTTCAATATATCATGATCAGCCACTCGAAAAATACCTTTACCTTCAAAAACATTATTTCATAAGAAAACAGCATATCAATTATCATCATGTTTATCAGCATACAGTAGTTTGATTGGGAAAATAATGGGATCTTGTATATTTTTTTATTATAGGACTTTTTGCTGTGGTTTTTGGTTACATATTATGGCTGGCCTGTATGCCATTTTTTCTTCGTCCACCAGCCAAATGTAAGTTAATTTCATTCTTGCATGGTTAATTGAGTGTTTTTTAAATGTTATATGACTAGAAATAATAATAACCTATAATTTGTAGTTTATATAAAGTTTATATAATACAGAAGCTATCCTTTGTACTATTGTTATTAATGCATTTCGAAGTGAATTTACTGAAAAAGTGTAGCAATTATGATCATAATTGTGTTGTGAAAAGTCAGGAAAGTATAGGGGCCAATAAATGTACTTTAGCCACCATGTTAAGATCTGGTGGTTTTTAGCTAGTTTTACCCCTGATTTTCACCTGTCGAGAATAGGTGATATAATCTTGTCGAGGAGCTCCGTCAGTTCTCATTCGGTGCAGATTATACACTAGTTTTGTGAATGTGGAATGACATGCATTCACACGTGCCTTCAATCAGATAAATGATTTATATGTTTATATATTTTTGAATGATAGAGTATTATGTCAAAGTAGTCAGAATAATTATTTACAATAGTTTTTTGAAGGGAAGTTCTCCCGGCCATAATTTAAAATGAAAAAGTCACAAACAGCAAAAGGTACATAGACAATGGAAAAGCATTCCAAGATGTACGTTAAAGACTGCACTGGATGATAAAAAAATCAGTACAATTATAAAATTAGTGAATGGCTTTAGATCATTTGTTGTAATATTATCATAAAAAAGTTAAAACATTTTGATTTAAAGGGATTCACCCAAAACTAAAATTTCTGTCATGATTTACTGACCCATTACTTGTCATGAAACTTTTGACTTTTTTTTTTCTGTTGAACCCAAAAGAAGATATTTTGATCAAAATGCTGAAAACATTGACTTGCATATTATTTATTATTATTTTATTTATTTATTTATTTATTTATTTATTTATTTATTTATTTATTTATTTATTAATTAATTAATTTTTTTGTAGTAAAGGGTCAATAAATGACAGAATATTCAGTTTTGGGCTGTTAATAAATAAACAGAAGATTGATCACAGTCAGATCAAAAGCATGTTTTAAGGGTCAATTTTAATAATATGCTGATGGTCGTCTTTTCATTGGCAGGTCTCTGCAGAACATGGATTTTAGCATTGTGGATAATAACAATATCAGTTCTGGATATCATTATAGTCATTTATATTCATCTGGTTATATTGGAAAGGGAGAAAGGTATGTTGCATTAATTTTAAAGTTGTTTTGTATAATTTTTTTGTTCTTTTTTTTACAATTAGACCATATAGCACTGTTTAGATTATTATTTGTTTATTTACTTTTTTGTGTGGGAAAGCTCACATTTATCTTTAATGGAAGATTTTTTGTTGTTAGTTTTCAGTTAGGATTGTTGACCTGGAACAATGATGTACATAATGTGTAATATTTAATAATATTTTTTATAGATTTAATAGGAACATAGTGAGTTTAGTGAGTTTAGTCATCTGTTTTATTAGACATGTTGTGCTGATCAGAAATGCTGTTTTTAATTGTCAGAGCGCTTGGAGTGGATCTGTGTCATTTCATTTCTTGACGTTCTGAAGATTATCATGATTCTTGTGCAAGGTACTGTCCATCACTAGTGTTGGGAGTAATGCGTTACAAAAGTAATGTATTACAGTAACGTATTACTTTTTTCCTTTAACACTGTAGTGTAAGGCTTTACTAATACATTTTCAGTAATATTTTACTCGGTACATGTTCAGTAACGCGTGCGTTACAACAAACTTTTCTCATGCAAGATATTAACAAATAAAACATATCGCTGTTCTATTTCCTGTTCGTGGTTAGTGAATATACGTGTGTGTTGTCATTGATCTCCCTCTGGCTATTGGACCTTTTTACTTTGAACGTGGAATCATTTCAGCCTCTGAGCTCGAGGTCCAAGGCTGTTGGCTCAGCCTGGTTCGCAGTAACGTTAAGCCCTAACGCGCTGCGGAAAACCGGCAAATAGATAAAAATGGCTGAAGACAGTACGTTTGCGAGATGGACATGCGCGTATATGGCGTTATTTCACTGACAAATGTTGTTAGCGCAGTATTACAAGTAGAGCGCTCGCTCGTCAGTTTCCTCTGTTCGTGGACAAAACTGCTTGCGAGCTCTCAAATATGATACACTATTTGAAGAGTGAATAGTACAGTAGACTATAATGCCTTATCAAGTTTCCCCTATTTTCTATTAGTTATATTTCTGCTTGCGTTAGTTATATTTTTGTTTAAATGTGTTTTATTTGATTAGTATGGTGCACCTTTTATATGTTTAATAAATGTTTTTAAAGTAAAACGTATTCATTACATTCAAAGTCTATTCTCTGTGTCTTTAAGTGTTTAAAACTGGAAATATCTCATCATATACTGTAACATACAGCCAAATATGTTCTGGTTTATTAGATTAAAAATGTAATATGCAAGTCTATTTTAGTATTTTGGTTATTGTTAATAAACAGTGCACCAGTATAAATCATATTAAAAAGCACAAAAGAAAAAGGTAACACACGACACAAATTGAGATTCTGCATATAATCTCGCTGAGCGAGCAGTGTACTGAGAACACACAAGAAAATATACATTATTTATGCATATTTGAGAGAGCGTGAGAATTTGCGCACAAGCCGTCTATATTTGAGAGCTCGCAAGCAGTTTTGTCCACAAACAGAGGAAATCGGTGCAGGAGCAAAGAGATTCACTCGCTCGTATTATATGAATGTCCTCTTGTCTTGTAATACCGCGCTCATGACATTTGTCAGTGAAATAACGCCATACGCGCATTACTTGGATTTTGTCCAATATAAGGACAAGAAGAACATTATTGTCAAATGCAACCTTTGTAAAAACCTGAGAGAATTATCGACATCGAGAATTAGCACTAGCAATTTAAAAAAACCTCTGGAGTGTTGCCATGCGTCCACTTACAGCGAAGAGAAAGACAACAGAGGACGAGAGTGATAAGCCAAAGCAGCAGAAATTACGTTTTTCTCGGTCAGTGGATTAATTTTGTTATTTTAGAGGCATGTAGATCTCTGTTTTATCTGCTTTCTTTTTAGCAGTTAAGCAATGTTTAGCCTATATGTTCAATTCTATGGCCTAAAATGAGTGAGGTTGAGGGGTTGGTCCTCTAATTGCACTTTATACTGAGAAAGCGGTTCATCATGCTCACTTTATGCATGACAGTTTTGTGTTGTAAGCCACTCGAATTTGAAGTGATTAAAATAATGGCAATAATAATAAAAGAAAAAAAATCTGCATCTTTACATGACATCGTTTTCTACTGGGTGTAAAATGCTCTGCAGTACACTTCAGTGCTCATGTGAGAATGTTAAGTCCTAATTCTGTAGTTATTTTGGGGAAAGTAACTAAAAAGTAATATAAGAGTAATGTAACATTACAATTCTGAGACGGTAATATTGTAAGGGATTACGGTTATATAACAGTAACAAGTAATCTGTGATATATTACAGTTTGGAAGTAACTTGGACAACTTTCTCCATCACTGACTTACAATGCTTCATCAAGTAGGAGTACAGAATAAATGTACAAAACTAAACCCACACAAATGTTCCAGTTTGACCTGCATGTTTGAATTACACTATTAGTGACATAGTTTTGTACATTACATTGTGTTTTAGAGACAATTTACATGATATGCTAATACTTTTCTCTCTGATTTCATAATCCCTAATACAGAATTGATTTACTACCAAGAAATTGTTAAAATATTGTCTAGGCCTTTTGATTTATTACTATTGTTGTTGTTGTCATAAAAAAAAACTATTTGTCTTTTTCTCATGCTAGAATAGAAAAGATCCCAAAATAAAGTCATATTTTCTGCTCATTCATCTGAGTTTTGTTTTTAACAGTAAAAAAACTTTCAGAAACTCTGAGAATACGACAGCAGACTGAGACGAGCGAGCAAGGATCAAACACATGTAATCTTTCACTGATCAATAATTTATTATCAACTATGCATTCATTGTGGCATAAAGCCGGTTTAATAGAACTGAAAATAGAAGAGATCTGTGTCATTAATGCAACATTTAATCATTTACCTCTTGTGTGTGTCTGTTTCAGTGTCTCCCTG